GAAGCGGCATACGAGACCAAAGCCTCCGCCTGTTCATCATCATCCACCACATCTGCCCACGCTCTGCTGAACCGATACGACAACCCACCACGAGGCTTCAGTTCCAGTGGCTTCGGCTTTTCCACCACTTCCGCCGGTTGCACTCGTCGTTGTGACCGAGAGCGTGGCACCTGTCGCACCTGTTTTTTGTCCAGCAAGGGCCTTCCCCTTCTCACAGGGTTTGATCTTGACCGATACTTTTTTGTTGGCGGGTTCACCGGCGGCATTCCAACTCCCACCAACTGCAGCTTCTGTACGCACAGCGGAGACCTCTGCGCAAGCGTCCAAGCATCACGGTACCTGACCTTATCAAAAAGCTCCCGATAGGAGCCTCTCGGCATGGTTTTTGCACCGGAGTCTTCAGCTTCACGCACCTGAGTGAGGGTTCGCACCGCCGCTCTTCCAGTTCCTTTGCTCCCAGAAGATTGTTGTACCCGTACAGATGCATCGGAAGGAACTGCTTTTTCCGGTCCTCCCGGACGATATCGGACACCACCAACCAATTGCAGAATTTTGCATGCGGTCACTTTGTTGATCCCTTTGTCAACCAAATCTTCCACAAAGATGAACTCTTGCAAGTCCGACACATTGGTCACACCAAGTGTAATCATCACCTCACTTACATGAGGGGTATACACCCACAGGTGTTCGTTGCGAGCCATCCAATTTTCAATTGGCTCCTCCGGATTTTGAAGCCGAGTACCAGTGGATTCAGCCACCGAATTCTTTTGTTCATCAGCTTCTGCTTCATCCAGAATACCTTTTTCACCTTCTTTTTGTGACACATTGGTCATTTGCAGCGCTTTTGGTGCTGAGGATGAGGAAGATTCAGCTCCCCCACTCGCAGGTGGCTGAAAAGTGCTTCTGTCCGAAATCTCCCATCCTCTCTCCTTTTCAAACCGGACCTGATTGGCCACGTGTACCAAGTGTTTCAGGAGCGTTAACCGCTCCTCTGACATCTCGTCGTGGGAGTACTTGCAGAAATTTGACCCTTTCCGGCAACGTCCTCTGAGGTAATAATCGAAACAGCAATGGTGGAACCCTGCGTCCCTTAGTGCCTTCCTGGAAGCATTGTCCCAAGATTTGCCGGGCTCCCAAGTCCCTTCCAATGCTATGTCATCATTGTGAAGATACCTGCACGTAGTCCCGTATTTACAACCACCTTGATTGTAATACAGACACAGACGACCTTTTGGCTCACCCGACATAGGTTCACCCTTTGATGCACCTTTGCCAAAATTGTACTTGGCCCGGAAGGCTAAATCCTCCCGCTCCTGCTGTGCCTCATCCACTGTACCTTCCTCTGTGGGAGGGTCACCGATGTTCCCATCCTCATCTTCAGCTTCTTGGCTGTTCTTTGGATCAGTTGACCCCCCTTCTGGCCAACCTTCACCATAACGACGATGCTCATAGGGACAACCATCACCATTGCGACACCTTCCCTTATTGAAGAACTTGCACAGTTTGCTGTATCCAGGTGACACAGTCTGTGGAGTCATGTGAGCCTTTTTGTACTGGTCAGGATCCATGTAGGCTTCCATTGGCTTGTTCTCCCTTTTGCTCATGGATTGCACTGCACCATCAAGCTCCTGCAAAAATAGCTTGGTGTCCAACCAAAGCGCGTTCCAAAACTCATCTTCCCCTTGATTCAGCACCGTTGCCACCGCTTCACCCACAACTGGTCGAGTAAATCTCCTTTTTCTGCATGCCAGTTCGAAAAGCGCGTTGTGGTACTGTTTTCGGGAAAAAGTGGTTAACTTTCCCAAGCCTGTGCTTTCTGTACCATCAGGCTTCCAACCATCATTTTGCAAGATGCCATACGCGCGCCGAGCTTCCGCATTGAGGAATGCATGATCTGCAACACACTCCTGTAGCTCTTCCATTGGGCGACCCAACAGCATCCCAGTAATTTTTCCAACATAGGCCTCATCTTCGTTTCCATTCTCCAGAAGAGCTTTGTAGATCTTTTCTCCATAAAGTTGCCTTTCCTCTCGTTCTTCTGAGCTTCCTCCTGTTTCCAGTCCCATTGACCGTTGGAATCTTGGTACCATTGACCAGCATACCATGAATCCGTCCACCACGTACTCCAGTCGCTGGGTTTCCATTTACGCAGCGTAGAAGAAGAGTCCTCCACGTCCTCTTCCAAAACCAGAAAGGTGTCCAAAATTATGGTACCATCATCTTCCACTCGTTTCACTGTTCCATTGACAGTATCACCAAACTTGAACTGATATGTATTGTTCCCTTCTGCAGGAACCAATACATTCACATCACCATGGTCCAAAAAGGCTCCATACCCATTGATGCAGCGCACTAGACCCACGATCCTATCTCCCTCTTGATAGCAATGTTCCCCAGGTGATTCCAAGGCTCCCGCTCGGGGCACTTTCTTTGCATGCTCTTCAGAAACCATCTCTGTGTCATCGGCTCCTGGCGCATCTTTTGTCTTCACCTTTGGGTCACACTGCTCGTCCTGCTCCACGAGTCCCACAGGCTCATCTCCTTTGTGCTCCTGGATTTCAGGACCTCCCTTTTTTTCTGCCAAAGGCTTTGCCTCATCTGCTGCAGTTCGCTCGGTGTCGACTTCCGGCGAGCTTCCAGACGGCAATACTTCTCCCTTCATGGGAGTGGACCCATCATTGGAGTCTTTTGTGACGCCTTCTGCAGCAGGCAAATTTTCTTCCACTGCAGGGCTATTGAGTTGCTCATCCACGGCAGGTACATTTTCTTCCACCGCAGGCTCCTTTGGTTCCATGGTTTCCAAAGGAGAATTGTCACCATCATCGACCACAGCTGCCTCATCGGCTCCGGTGTAGCCCTTGTCATTTCGTTCCTCGCAGCTAACTTCAGGTTGCACCAGTGCGTCCACCTGTGAACCTCCGTCATCAGCTACTGCGGAGACCTGCGCCCCATTGTTGCAGTCGCCCGTGGAACGTAACACCATATGCACCTCAACCCGTGCTTCCTTCGCACTCCAGGTACTATCTGGCGCATCGACCCGCGCATCATTGGCGCTCCAGGCCTCATCTTTCAGATCTTCCGTGTCTCCAGCTATTCCAGAAGCTTCTTTTTTCTCTTGAACGGCAGAATTCTTGGCACCAGACGAAGAGACCTCCTCAGTCGCAACACACAACCTTTTCCCTCCGTCTTCCGAATCTCCAGGACCACCTTCCTGAACGACAGGTACCACATCCACCACTCGCTCTTCTGCAGCCGACACAGTTCCGATCTCCACATTGGGAATTTTTTCTTCTGGACCCACCGATTCCACCGCTGCCACACCCTCAGAAAGCGCTTCCATTTCTTCCCGATCCAGATGTTGAGCTCCAGCGATGTCGGCTCGGTTTCCAGGAATCCCCTCCTCATCAGGAGAACCCGAGGTCGGGGCGTCACCACCAGCCCTAAGACCGCTATCCCTGATAGTAGAGGAAAAATCTTTTTCACCTACACTATTTACACTACCCTGGAATGCCCTCGTAGACTCAGGCGTCGGAGTAGAGGACGAAGAACCCAGTGCAGCCTCCATTTCCAGCTCATTGCCCGAAGGAGACCCAACCACCTCGTCACTCTTCATCTTTTCACCTACAACCGGCAATGTCCACTTGCTTTCCTGCGTATCCAGGCAGTAGTAATATTGTCTCCCATCTTCATGGAGGTGCCATTCCCACGTTGTCCCATCGCACGCTTTGATCAGATGCTCATCTTTCCGAAAACCATCCCTTTCAGAGACCTGACGCATCTCATCCTCTTCTTCTGACAACTGTCGCAACCTTTCAGCCTCCATCTGTAGGATCTCCTCCTCCCCCATGGCGTATTCAGCAGCTGGTGCAGCTTCAAAGCTGTCCGCACCCTTCTGTTCGTAACCGCTTCCACCACCTTGGGAACTCGAAGATGGATCCCCTTTAATCTTGTTCAGAGGCCTCCTGGCCGCTTGCAGCACTTCTCCAATCAGATCGGTCTGAGACCCTTGGTCTACCATTCGACCCGAAGTCGAAGTCGACGGCTGATACCCGTGTTTTTGCAACACTCGTAAAACAGTCACCTCCATTTCACGATCTATACCACCAGTCGCGTCCCAGTTCCTTTTTTCACCAGGCTTTGGCGATACAGAGACAGCACGTCCTTCAGCTTCAGCATTGCTAACCATATCCACATTGGGATTCATACCCGCATTGGGGTTTTCTGCAACCAAGGCTTCTTCCAGATGTTCTTCAGCGCCGGGAATCACCTCTTCCAGCACCGCTCTTTCACCCAGAGACTCAGCTGCACCATTTCCAGCTCCACCATTCTGTCCACCATCCGAGGAAGGTTGGAGCCATCGCTTAGGAGAAGGCATTGCTTCTTGATCCCAAAGATCTTAAGACAACACTCAACCGCAGGGAACCTAATTTGGGCTCATAACCTACGGGGGCAACCGAAAGGGAACAGGGAAAGAAACCAACCCTCAGCAGTCGACGGCTCTTGGCCATCTTGAGCCAAATAAGATTTCCGGGTTCATTGGCCCTTCCAACCCTCAACACTAACTCCTTTCTACAATACCAATTGCAGCTCCGCACCCTAAACCCTAAACCTACTTGATTTCCGCTGGGTGGCTCCCTCCTGATCAAGAGACCCACGCCGAGCCAACAGTTCCTTAGGGTCTCAAGCACAGTAAAGTCCAGAAAGTTGGCACATGGTTTATAAGGATGTTTAGGGTTTAGGGTTTAGGGTTTGGGGTTTAGGGTTTAGGGTTTAGGGGTTAGGGGTTAGAGCTGGGATTCCCTTCAGTATACCTTCTGAGGTATGAGGGGTACGGATGTTCCAACTTTTGGGAGTTTACTGTAGATGAATGAATGAACTCTCTCGTCCTATACTTTGGCGACCCAAAGCTCCCAACTTTCAAACCCCGAAGGGCTTTTTATGCCACCCGACTGGGGTTAGAGCTTAGGGTTTAGGGTTTAGGGTTTAGGGTTAGGGTCTTGCTAAGAGCAATCGAAGTTCACCATGCCCATCACCGTGGCAATGTAGCCGCCGCCTGTACTGCTTGCTGGTCTAGGGTACAAGAAGGGTTCAGGTGTAGGCCAAGCATCGTTTTACTTGCCCCACTTCCTAACTAGACCTTCAACGGCTGAAGCCCTGGGATTACCCCCTTAAGAACAACCTTGCGGGACATTTCTTCGACTGGTAAGTTGTTGAGAGCACATGCGGTGCAGCCAGAAGACGTAGTTGTGTCCTCTGCCAAGGGAACAACACCCCTGTACTTCTGGATGGTACAACCCTTGGGGCTACTCAACCCAGTCAGCGAAACAACTACAGCCAACGCCGCCGAAAACGCCTTTTATGAACTCACTCAAACCCCCCCCCCCCCCCGGCCGGCCTTTGTGGACCACCTCGAAGAGTCTTCGCCCAGCCGTCTTGCTCTGCCCTGGCTCCGGGTGCCCGCAGAACTTCCGGAGGATGGCGTTGAAGGGCTGCAGCGTCCCTCAAGGGCCCACAGGTGGGTCGATGTTTGAGGGATGCTGAGGGCACAGAAAAAGTATATAAGTATCAGAAGTATATAGTACTAGATAATTCAAACATATACACATAGCATGTAGATGTATAGACAGAAAATACCAATGCAGAGATATGGTTTGGGGGGTTTAAGGACTAATTCTTGTGTCACCAAGGCGCCCAGGACGACGGCAACGAAGCCGACGACGTGATGAGGGCCTGTGAAGTGCAACGCCTCCGCTGTGGGGTGGAACAATGAGACATGGAGGGGCCAACCGCGTTCGTACACATCTGAGGGGGGGGGGGGGGTTGGGGTGTGGGGTTTAGGGGTTTGGGGTTTAGGGTGCGGAATTGACAGCTTACGGTGGCAGGAGAAAGCTGACTGGAGGTTCTCGAGAGGGCGCGCGGCAGCATGAGGTTCAAACCCGCAGGCCTGCACGTACCACACGGCCATGCAGAAGCCAACGAGTTGAATCGTCCATCCGCAGACCTGATGAAACAACACAACCACGCCAAGAACCGCAAACCTCAAAACATGACCCCGTGGAAGCCCTAGCAACGCAACCCCTACATGCCCGAACCCTAAACCACCAAAATCTCCATCACGTACATATCGCCCTCAACCCTGAACCTACTATTTGCTTAAGAACCACCCCAAAAAAATGAAAGCAATATTCCCCTTATAAGGAAGAATTTTTGAGGGGTTCTTAAGCAAACAGTTGTAACCCGTTGCATCTGGGCTCACCACTTCCCTGAGAACGCCTTCCTAAACCCTAAACCCTAAACCCTAGACCCTGAACCCTGAACCCTAAACCCTAAACCCTAAACCCTGGTCGAGGCCAGCTGCTTGGATGCGCCTGTGCAGCTTGAACCAGGCGCCCCCGGGTGCCCCCGTCACGTCCCGTGCACGATTTGCCAGCGCCACCTAAGGCTGGGGTTGAGGGTTTAGGGTTTAGGGTTTAGGGTATAGGGTATAGGGTATAGGGTATAGGGTATAGGGTTTAGGGTTTAGGGTTTAGGGTTTAGGGTTTACGAAAATAGGGGACCTCGAATCGAGACCCCCCAAATAGTATAGGGTTGCATGATAATCAGGACCGCAATAAGGTACCCCCAATTTCGGAAACCCCCATGTGGTTTAGGGTTTAGGGTTGGGATGTTCCCCTTTATACTAACAGTCCTTAAACGGGATTACAGTACCCCCTACTAGAATCCCGATGAAGGAGCTGTTAGTAATAAGGGGGAACATCCCAAGTTTAGGGTTTTGATGCTCTTCGGACGTGAGTTTCTTCATTCTGCGATTTTTGTGCAAAAGGGTCGAAGCCTTCACAAACTTTGTTTTTTGGGTTGGCTTCAGCGTCTCTTATATGGAGCATCGAGTGCAGCCAATGGTGGCCAACCGGAGCCATCATCATCCTACAGTCCTGACAGGGACCAAATCTAAATGACCTGTATTAATCATGTTCGTACAAGTATGTACGTATATTGTTCTAGTATTGTACTGTTTTAGTGTGGTGTTATTATAGCACTATACTATTAAATTGTTATACTAACATATTCTTGTATTCATCTACTTGCTATACGGTTAAATATTTTTTTACCATTATACCATTTTACTACGATGCTATTGTACTACTCTACCATTTTTCTGAGTTTTCAATTTCGGCTTTCAGGATTTGGGCCAAACCTGCATCCACATGCCCGAAAATGCCCCCATAACGAGAGTCCCAAGCCACGCCCCATGGAAGGAGAGTTCCCCAGCCGACGGCCATCAGAATGAGGTGCAACCACCTTGGGACAACGGTGCACTTTCTGTGTGCCTGGCTCTTGGGACAGCAAGACGAATGATATGGGCCCAGTAACTCTGGGGCGCACACGTGTATACTTACGTGCATAGTACAGGGGTCGGAAAAAATCACTAAGTGTATTCCCTAATGGTCCCTTTGTGAATATACAAAATTCACCCCCCCCCCCCCAAAAAAAAAAAAAAAAACTATTCTAATTATTCAGGCCCCTTTATTATGCGCAGACACATGTGTGGGTGTGGGTGGAGCTCTGAGGTTGCTTGGGCATCTGGGGTTTCCATAGTTTCAACGAGCAGGCTCCGAGCTTGCGACAGGTTGCGCGAACAACGCAATCTCATACCGTGAGAACGTGAAAGCCCGCAAGCCCCTAAACTAAACCAAAAAGCCTTATATATATATATACATATACATATATATCCCGACCCGAGAGCCCTGCCCTACACCACACCCTAAACTCTGAACCCTGAAAAACCCTCAACCCCTAATGATTCGAATCGGGTTTTGGGTGGTTATTTTGGGTCTGTACAACTTATGTAGGGACCATAAGGGAACATCATTGGTAACTTCTCTACTATTCCCCCTAAACCCTAAACCCTAAACCCTACACCCTAAACTTTAAACCCTAAGCCCAAAGCCCTAAACGGCGAACAGGTCTGGGTCCGCCCGCAGAGAAGCCTCGGCCGTCGGCCCCACAGACACGACCGACCTGGGACAGGAAGGAGTGTTCTTAAGGGACGAAAGCAGTGACCCTTGTGAGGAGTTCAGGGTTTAGGGTTTAGGGTTCAGGGTTTAGGATTAAGAGTTTAGGGTTTAGGTTTCTATAGGTCGTAGGGTTCATACTATAAGGGTAACATGTAATTTTAGGAGTATTGTATGCCATTCCAAGAGTTGCAAATCAATGAAGACCCAGCCGCATCGCGCTGCAGAGCTTGTACGAAAACCTAGCTTGCTCCGGAAACGTCGATTTCAGTATTGCACCACATGCATCTGCTTTCCTGGATTGACGCATGCTTCGCCCGAAGGAAATGCAGTTTCGGTCGACGTCCTAACCGCTTCCAGAGAGTGATTTGCCTTGCCACAAGAAAAAAGTGAACTTTTCGTGTTGCATGTATGTCGGGTTTTCGCAGCTGCAGGTAGAGCCTAAACCCCAAACCCAGACTTTTTTGCAGCTGAGTATGAGTTTTGCCTGCTTACCATGAAGCAGTAGATATAGGCTAACCCTAAGGGTCCCAGTACCTTATTATCATATACTTGGGCCCCAAATACCCTATGTGGCAATGTAGCAAGTATTTCAAGGCCCAAGTATTCCCTATTTAGGTACATGGACCCTCAGGCTAAGGGGTCAAGTCCAGCTGCTAGCTCGAAGAAGCCGACCTCGGAGCCGAACGCCCAAAGTCTACTCGTGGCGGGGTGGCGGGCAGGTTTAGGACCACCTTTGCCTTGCCTACGATCTACATATATATATATATATATATACATATACACTTTTATGTATTTATTTACTGGTTATTATCTTATATTTTATGTAAACATTTATTTCTGAGTACGACTCCAATCCAACACTCAAATCCCTAACGTCTCAACCTTGAACCCTTTTTCTTTCACATCCTTGTTTGAAAACTGTACCCCATAAACCCTCAGCCCTCGAACCCTAGACCTTCCTGGCTAAGCCCTATACTAGTACGACCTTACCGAGAAACCCCCATACATTGAGTTGGTCGCGCTGAACCGATGCTTACGAGGCACTCGAGCGAGCCGAAATCGACGAGGGCGCCTCCCCGGTTGCTGCCGTGGTAGGCCAGTGTGGTGGAGCCATCCTGGGCTGTTTAGGGGGTTTAGGGGGTTTAGGGGGTTTAGGGGGTTTAGGGGGCTTTATGGCCAGGGATTTGTTGGCCATGTTCTTTGTAATGCCGCGGCACGTTGTTTTGAGCATGTCAAGTAGGGTTTTTATTCCTTCTAACAATAGGACACCCAATCTATCCACGCACCAATATTAAGAAGGCACCCCAAATACACTCACCAATAGCAGTAACAAAAAAAAAACAGTGCTTCATGAAGGGTGGGGGGTTGGGGTCTAGAGATGCGCACCCTAAACCCTAAACCCTAAACCCTAAACCCTACACCCTAAACCCTAAACCCTAAACCCATCTTGCCCTAAACCCTAAGCCCTAAACAATAAACCCTAAACCCTAAACCCTGTCAAGGCAAGCTTCACTGCCATGCGCGTAGATGACCATCTGCTGCGTGCCCGGCGAGATCGCGACTTGGGAGGCCGTTTCGGCCTCGAGCTTCCCGGTCTTTTCGTGGTTTGTAGGGGCGTCTGGCGGCTGATAGGGGCTTATAGGGCCTATAAACCATAGGGTTTATAGGGTTTATAGGGTTTAGAGGGTTTAGAATTAGGGCTTATAGGGTTTATAGGGCTTATAGGGTTTATAGGCTTTATAGGGTTTTGAATTAGGCCTTGTAGGGCATATAGGGTTTATTGTAGGGTTTTAAGGATTTTTTGGGGCGAAAATATTCCCAAACATCATCCTCTTAAACCCAATACGGGAAAATACAAGATTTCCCGAGGACCTACCTAGTAGCCCTAAACCCCAAACCCTAAACCCTGAACCCTAAACCCCAAACCCTAAACCCTAAACCCCAAACCCTAAACTGGGGGTGTTTTCGGACCAAGCCAGGGGCCTGCAGCTTCCGCGTGAACTGCATGGAGACCTGGCACACTCTAAGGGGTGGCTGTATGGGCCCTTAAGATTATCTCCTAGATCAGGGAGTTTAGGGTTTAGGGTTTAGGGTTTAGGATTAGGGTTTAGGGTTAAGGGTTGAGGGTTTAGGAAGTTGCGTGGCCCCTTAATATGGTCCCTTACCTCTTTTAAAGGGCTCATAACTACCCTGAGAGACTTAAACTGTTTCGAGGCTCACTGTAGGGTTTAGGGCTTAGGGTGGGCAAGGTTCGTTGGTTCAAGTCGAGGTCATGCTATCGTATGGAGGGACACCATCAGGCCGACTACAAAACACGGGCAAGATGTAATTCAGAGTTTAGGGTCTAGGCTGGCTTCAAAAGTTAGGGGTTCCTGTGTAGAGGTTTCTGTAGTATACAAGGGCTACAGTATTTTTTGGGGCACATCGGGTTTCCCTTCTTCTGGGAAATTCTCTGCGCGCCTTTTGGGCTTCGAGCTCTGCAGACGAATCCCCAAGCACGATTACAAGCCCTAAGCCCTAAGCCTTCGTCACCCGCAATTCCTTGAGACCTGATCCAAGGCAGGCCAATCGAACCCTCGAGTTTAGGGTTCCAACTTTTGCCTCCAATGCGGTCCTGCTCAAAGCAACCAAGCCAAGTCCCAAATGCACAACGCCAGGGGCCTACTTTGGGGTGAGAACGGGTGTTTTGGGAAGTGTGGTATTAAAGCTGTAGGGAATAGCAGGGGGGGGATAGTCCCAGTAACCCTAAACCCCAAACCCTAAACCCTAAACCCTCAGTCCCAGTAATTCTTTTTGGGGTCCTGCAGTTTCGCTACAATCACCACCCTCAATGGGCCTGGCCGGAGACGGTGGAGCAGGAAGACCCGGGCACAACCTGGCCCCCGGTCGGTGGTGCCTCGGCCGTCATCCAGTACCGCAGAACCTTGGCTTGCGTCTAAAGAGTTAGGGTTTAGGGTTTAGGGTTCAGGGTTTAGGGTTGAGGAATTGGGTTGAGGAGGGCTGAGGAAGCAATTGAACTTGTGGAAGCAGGAGGGCGCACGTCTTGGTGTCCTAGAATCTCTTAAGCCAGTTGTCGAATCACAAACACTGCCCGGCAACAGTTCCACCGCTGCAGATAAAGGTGTCTGCGTTGACCATGGATGGGCTGGAGCCCTCCACGAAGCCAATCCCGATCCACGTGTTCATGGAGGAAAAGACCTCAATGGTGACGTCGGTGCTATCCACCGCTGCAGTCATGGACAGGCCACTAGTCAGCTCCAGTCCGCTGGCGGCTGCTGGTGTCGTGGTATCGCCAGAGCTGCCGGTGGTCGTGCAAACATTTCCCCCAGCTTCGGTGCTGCTAACTTCGGCTGCAGCCCAGACTTCGTCTGTGCTCCCACCGGCGCCACAAAGGGCACGGAAGCTCACACTACCACACGTCGGCGCAGTCCAAGTATAGGCATGGCTGGTAACCCTCGAGTCCTGATCCGCAGTGGACGCGGAGCCGAAGAGCCCACTGCTTGCCCCAATCTTTTGGCCGAGGGCTTGGGTGGACGAGACAGTCACCTCCAGGGCTTGCCAGTCACAATATATATATATATATATATATATTTGTATATATATATATATATGTTGTCTTGTTTAAAAAATATTTAGTGAGTTTAGTGTTTAGGGAGGAGGGTCACGGCACAACACATACCCTAATTCCAGACATTAGCACAACACATACCCCAATTCCAGAAGTAATTCCAGAAACAGTCATCGACAGAGCGTGGACCGTGGAAGACAGGGAAGAGGCAAAATCGTCAAAAACATGTGCCCAAAATGATACGTCTACGACGCTCTTCGGCTTCAGCACTACAACCACCCAATCGCACCTGATAGTCGGTTCCCCCCACAAAACCGGTGCCAGGGATGTCTGTGGAGATGGCACAGGTGGCACCGGTGGTCGCACCAATATTTGCGATACTCATATAGCCAAAGGCACCTTGCAATGTCTTGCTTTCAGCGTGCAAAAGGACTTCCCCCAAACCTCCCCCCCCACCCCGAAGCCCCAGACCCTAAACCCTAAACACTTAACCCTAAACCCTAAACCAGCCCTCAAAACCAACAATCATCTGGAGCACTGCCCGGTGTGTAGCCGCCGAGGCAGTTGAAGTCACAAGTCATGTAGGAGGGGTTGCCGGACACCTGGAACGGCTTAGGACTTCGGGACTTAGGGAGGTCAGTCGTGTTTCGATGAGTCTTGCGGCAGGGCCGGAGCACAAAAAAAAGTGCATTTCGCGTGCTCAGGGTTGCGGAGGTGCGGAGGCTTGTGCGGCGAATATTGTGCGGGCATGTGTGGGCCAGGGATTGCACAGCCTTCCATGCCCCACTTACGTACTGTAGATCTGTTGGTACTTGCGCACAGTTTGCATAAATCTCCATCATGAGAGGTATCCCTGTTTTAGGGTTTAGATTCCCTTATGTGCCTCTCTCAAACCAAAAAGGGTACCGTCGTTGGACCGTTGGTATTCCTGGGTTACTCCTGGTTCTAGGTTACGACGTACTGTTTATCCAGCCAGCGCGATTCCCGAAACGAAAGGCAAGGCCTGCAAGCCGAACTCCCACAGCCAGAACAGCCTTGACTTGGGTCTAGGAGGGCTAGTGCAACCCGACCTCTTGACAAGGATGATGTCAGACCGACTGACTCAGGATGTTTGGGGAAGAGGGGGGGCGGGGGAGGTGGGGGGAGAGCGGCGCCGTGGACTTTCAGATTTCCCTTGCATCTTTCATCCCTGCCGTCGGTTGGCCTATTTCCTTCACTGCACTGTGGCGTCCGTTGAGGCAAAGTTGAGGCCTACGCCGTCTGTGAGAATTAGGTCTCCAGGCAGAGCCCCGCAACCCCAAACCCTGCCTGCGAGCTTCAGCGGGACCTTAAACCCCTCAACCCCCAAACCCCTAAACCCCCAAACCCCTAAACCCCTGAACCCTAAACCAAGGTTCCCCCTAAAACCGAACCCCTACACCCCTAAACCCGAACCCCTACACCCCTAACCCCTAAACCCTGGCCTCCCACACAAGTAGGCTCACCCATGTCAGGAGCATGGTGGCGCGGCTGGCACAGAGCAGAAGGTCACGGCAGTCACAGCGAAGCCTTTGAGCCAGCCTCTGGGTGCGCAGCGTCGCAGTGATCTCTTCCGATGCGCTGGTTCAGGGTTTAGAGTTCAGGGTTTAGGGTTCAGGGTTCAGGGTTTAGGGTTTAGGGGTTTACGGAGCCCCGGCAATTTAAGTGCAGGATTCGGCTAGTGAGAACACCTCCCACTCGCTCCAAGCTTGTGAATATGCTGAAGCTCTGGACATCATAGGATAGGGTTTCGGGATTTCAGCTTCCCTCCTGCCAAGACTGTCGGACTGTCTACCGGTCTGCGCAGGCTCGAAGCCGATGTACTCACAGATCCCTGGCCCTAAACCTTTTTGCATAAACCCTAAACGCTAAACCCTAAACCCTAAACCCTACACCCTAAACAGCCTGGAGCCCCAAATCGAGCGCAGATTCCCCGTGAAGTGCGTGGCAGAAAATCCGCACGTGTGCCTGCTGCGCTGTGTGTTGAACTCTGCCATTGTCTGGGACCTGACGCTTTCCGAGGCTACTCCTCCCCTTGCAGCTCAGCTCTTCAAAGGGTTTAGGGTTTAGGGTCTTGTGAGTAGGGCTCCTCGTACTTCGTATCAGCGTCCTATTCTCCAACGTCTGCCACACTCTGGAACATCATGGTGTTCCAGCTCATGCAGCTCCCTCATGATGCCAACAACACGTCAGGTGAAGGCTGAGGCCAGGGACACCTTGCTGTCATTTTCTTGCATCTTCTGCTCACACTCCTGCGGGCTGCGCTATAGGGGAGGTCCCAAGGGCTCCTCAAACCCTAAACCCTAAACCCTAAACCCTAAACAGCTTAAAGAAACCGACCCACCCAAACTTCCCCCCCAAGGTGCCGGCAGCTCCTTGAAGAAGGCTTGGGTCTTCCGGCTCATCTCCTTCCTGGTTTAGGGTTTAGGGTTTAGGGTTTAGGGTTGTTCATGAGGTGTAGGCTGTATGGCCTGTACCTGTAGCTATATTGTGCTCCTGGGCCGCTCGGCCCAAGAGGGGAAACAAAGGCCTATCTCGCAAAATCGAGCATAAGCGCGGAGCTTCTCGTGATCGATGGTCTCACCTCAGTTTGACGGAAAGGGATTAGAGTTGAGGCCTAGATGTCTGCTTTGGCTCCAAAGAAGGGGGCTAACATCCCCAAAGCAAAGGCTGAAGGCATGTATAGGGTGTACTTTAACCCTCAATCTGAGCGAACGATTGAGATCAATTGCTTTAGGGTAAGGGGGCAAAGATAGAACTCGCTGAGAACCCTGCGGACCTCACAGTCTTCTTGGTTTAGGGTTTAGTAAGGGTTTAGGGTTTAGGGTTTTCTGCAACCAAGTACCCCACAACAGGAGCCCGCGACTACAGGCAAGGATCAAGGATGCTTTGGGGTCACTAGAGTAGGGGTAAGTCTTGAAGCGCTTTTTCAACAGGGCTCCCTCAAACCCTAACCCCTGTTTGTTTTCTCGCATCCAGGCTTGGGCGATGTGCTCCCTCGACCCTAAACCCTAAACCCTGAACCCTGAACCCTGAACCCTGAACCCTGCCAAGCCGACTTCTATAGTCTATGGTCACACCCGAGGCCGTGGCGGAGCTGATCTTTATCAAAGATGAGCTGATCCTTAGGTCTTGTGGTTAGGGTTTAGGGTTTAGGGTTTAGGGTTTGGGCGCGCCAGGGGTCGCATCGGCTCAAGGTTACCAGAACCTACCCGACTGCCCGCACAAGTCCTTGCAGACTTGGCCTGTGCGGGCACAAGGGGCTCCGATGTAAAAAAGTGCACCTGAATGAGCATCGACAATCCCTGCAGACAAACAAAGCCGATCAAACCAACATAGGGGCCAAAACAAGCAGAACCTTTGGGTGTTATTATAGTATATTTTTAAAAAGGGACCATAAGGGAATACTATGAGTAACTCTTCCGACCCCTATGTTCATCAAGTCCGCCTTCTCCTTCTCCATCTGGTCGAGGCTGTCACCTTGCGACGAGCATCGCGGGAATGCCTTTTCTCTTTGTCTCTTTCTTTTCTTCTTTCTCTCTCTCTCTCTCTCTCTGTGTCTCTCTCTGCCTCTTTTCTAGACCCCCAAAGGGCAAAGGTTTCGGGCTTCCTCTAACTCCGCTAACTCCATCATGGGCGGACCAATGAACTCCGAATGCCACGTTCTTTGGAGCCTTAAACACCAAACTTCCAAGCCCTTCTTGCAGCTTCCTGTGTTGGGGCTCAGCGGGGTTATAAGTACCTCGGGGACTAGATGAACCCTAAAATTGGGTCATATGCCCTATACTACGATTCTCCCTATTAAGGTATATGAACCATAAACCCTTTTAGGGTTCATCTGGTCCGAACCCGACCGAAGGGCGCTCTCAATCCTGCGACAATTACCTATCCACGGGTCAAGAACAGTCCATGCTGTTGGACCAAAGCTGGCCACCTCCACTTGGGGGGGATGAAGCAATGGGCAACAACTCTTGCAGGCGTTTCCTAAAGTACTACATTTTCGGGGCTTTTGGTTAATATTCATCTAGGCAAAGTCGGGTTGTGCGTTCACGCAAGCTTCCGGCCACCAAAATTCGCACCTCTAAACCCCCCCTCTCTTCGCCTCTCTTCGCAGATGGGAATCCCCGCTTCGAAACCTGAAGGCCCTATAAACCCGGTTTAGGGTTTAGGGTGTTTAGGGTTTAGGGTTTAGGGTTTACCCTAAACTCGATATGGGCCACCATGCCGTCTCAGTTCAGCTAGGGCATGGGCGGAGATTTCGAAGAGCTTTGTCAGCTTTCGACAAGTCTTCCTGCGAACAGACTTGCCGAGGTCGCTCTAATGGGCAAAGAGAAGGGCGTTCAGGAGCTCCAAAGCCCGGCCCTGAATCTGAAGCCCAGAGCCCCGCAAATGGGGTTGAGAGACTTCAACCCCCGACGCGATCACCAATACTGGCAGGAGTGTGACTAGTTGAGCGGAGAGCGAGTGAGAGGGACCTTGGCAAGGCAGCAGCCGATAGCTGCTGGAAACCCCACCAGGCCGCAACGCCTAAACTTAAGAAACCTCGCTTCTTTAGCTCTGGCACGTTCATACGGTGTCTTTCATATGACCCTCACTCAGAGTGTCCCAAAAGTTCCCGTCTGCGCCCTCAGCCCACGGCCCAGAGAGCCTCCATTTGAGCTATCCTCCGCTCATAGCCAGACTTCATCTCGGCCTCCACAAGAGCCCTCCACCCCGGAGACCGGGTTTAGGGTTTAAGGTTTAGGGTTTAGGGTTTAGGGTTTAGGGGAGACCCCACTTGGAGGTTCAGGGGTAGTTAGAAGTGGGGTTATAAGTAGGGCAACTATAGCTATAACTGGTGATAACTTTTTTAGGGCACTTCAAACCCTACTTCGAATTACCCATGAACCTTCAAGCAGAGACCCAAAGCCCTAAAAAACGCGAGGAAGCCCAGAAGCCCAGAAGCTGTAGCCCGTCAATCCAGCTCTGATCCGCATGGCCCTAATTCCCTCATCCCCTACCAAGAACCAGTGGCCCTTTGTTGCAAAATGCGCCAAACCCCAACAAGCCCTACAGCGTCGGGCCATGGTGTGCTCCGTCTCAATGTGAGTCTGCTGGTACTGCTCCACCTTCCCACAACTGCAGGAAACACGAGAGAATGTTAGGACCTCTACCGGCACAACTCCAAAACAGAGTGGTGCACAAGCTCACAGCTGAATCAAAACGAGAGGTTGAAGATCCCTGGTACAAAGCAACCTGGATGAGGAATACTGAAGAAAGTATGAGTCGAGATGTCCAGTGTGCGTTGCCTGGCCTCCCTAAACCCAAACCCTAAACCCAAAACCCAAAACCTTGCCTCCACTTGCAGATGCTCGATCTTGGCCTCCTGATACGTGCTCAATGTGACTCATGGCCGGGTCTGTAAGGCCTCCCAAACTGCCCAGATCTCCGTATTGCTGTAAACTTGGCGCCTCTCTCTGCGACAGATGGGTACATTCCAAAATAGGGGTACCCCGTTTATTCCCCAAAAACAAAATGGAATCCCCGTAAACGGACCCCCCAAAAGGGTACCCCTATTTTCGGAAACCCCCTATGTATATGTTTGTGATGCGGCTTAGAGCTACTTCTAAGGTTTTGGCTACATGATTTATTTTCCGAAAAGAAACCGAATCGATTTTTTATAAAATGCGAAAAACATGACACCGAAAAAGCGAAAATCATGGGTTCAGAAAAGGGGATACAATTGTTTCGCTTTTGTTTTGCTTTTTTCGCCGCATTATCGCTTTTTGGGTCGCTTTTTATTCGCTTTTTATTCGCTTCTTTCCTAGGAAAAAAGCGAAAAAAAGCGACCCAAAAAGCGACCAAAAAGCGATAATGCGGCGAAAAAGGCAAAACGTCGCTTTTGGGTCGCTTTTTTTCGCTTTTTTTCTGGGAAAAAAGTCGAAAGAAAGCGAATAAAAAGCGACCCAAAAAGCGACCAAAAAGCGATAATGCAGCGAAAAAGGCAAAACGTCGCTTTTTGGGTCGTTTTTTTTTCGTTTTTTTTCTCGCTTTTTTCCTAGAAAAAAGCGAAAAAGAAGCGAATAAAAAGCGACCCAAAAAGCGACCCAGCAGCCACAAACAACGAAAACAAACACAACAAAGGCACACATTTTTCTTGTTTTTTAGAGTCATTTTTTTTTGCTTTTTAAGTGTCTTTTTTTTGTCATTGTTTTTGCATATTTTGAGTAGTTGGGCTTTTTTTCGCTTTTTGGATTACATTTTATTCGCATTGTTTTCGGAAATAAATCATTTCCAGGATTTCATAGAAGTAGCTAACAAGCCGCGTCACAAGTATATGTATAGATATGTGAAGTATGTACAGTATATATATATATATATATATATATATATATATTTGTTTTCTCCACATATAGATATGAATATTTATTGATTTGTTTATGCAGTATCCCTTGCGCATCTGCGGCCAGGTCCTGCTCGGCGACATCGGTTCCAAGGGTCT